TGCTTTTAAAAACCCAATTTTAAATTTTCATTTCCTTCCATCAAATTATCTTTTGTTCTAGGAATGTGTGAGCGTGAGGTGTCGGTGTTAGTTTGCTTGGATTTCATTATCTGACAGTTTGAAACAGCAGGGCTGGTCTGTCATTATTGCATCTGCAGTCTGACATTCATGTACCGTTGTGGTTTGATCGTGGTCGTGTCGTCCTGTGTGCACGTACAAAGCTGTGTTTTTGGTCACCTGTCTACTTTCCTGGCAAAACAATGTATGCATTTGTGGGTGCTGAGCTTGATTCACTGCATGGTGTGATGTTGCCTTCACCTCAGACATTGGTGCTGCATCACATAAAGGGGGCAAACAAATGAATAGAAACACGACATGATATAATATCGAATATGTATTTGTAGAGATTAATCTAATAATAAAATATTAAATAGAGAAAAAAATTGTGGAATAAAACAAAATATGGTCCACAAATGAAATGTATATTACATTGGGAAAGGATATTGAAAAAACACGTTAAAAAAAAATTCAGCTCTTTATTATATATATCCTCTAAGTTCTAAATCTACTTTCTTCAGTCTGTTTTTATTAAATATGTTGTATTTATTTTCTTTTTTATGTTGCTTATATTCGATAGTGGACAGTAGAGAGATGACAGGTATAGAGGGCAACATGTGAATTACTGTTCCTTTAGTATCACAAACCAGGCTTTGCCCCGTCTGAATAGGAAAAAACATTTGAATGAACTCTGAAACTGAAACATTTATTTTGCAAAGAAGCAAGATTAATTTATCTGATAATAATGAGCTGAATTTTTTAAATGTGTCGGATAATTTCACAATGTAATACTTTTCGGTCTCTATTTATTTGTATGATTGTTTACTTCATAACTTCCTATTTATTAATCTAATGTTAAACACTTGTGAGTCTCAAATATAGTGAAATTGGACTTGCTTTAACTATCTGTAGATGTCAAAAAATAATTGGCAGCAATATCAAGAGCACTGGAGGTGTTCAGAGGTGAAGGGGCATCTCTTGGCACCTTTTTGTGAGCTTGGTATTATTATATGTCTTAAGTGTTTTCATTTTTTTGTCCACCCTCTGTCGGTAGGTCTGAATGTTACACTACCATCACTGTTGACCAGGATCACCGGTAACTGTTGCCTAACAACAGCACCAGGCCCTCTGCTACGGGTTTCACTATTTAACATGCATTTCTATTCTCCCAATAGCTGTCACAGGAAGGCCTCCTACAAACAGCCAGGTAAACTAGCACAAGACAAACCTAATGCAATGTTTGGTGTCTGCTCAATATCATTGCTGAGCTTCAACAAGATCAGTTTGCTTGGAAGGAAAATTGGGATCATTTCCTTTCCTAAATTCTGCTTGTCTCTGGTGGCGGGAATGTTTTATTTGAGTGGTTTTCACGTATCGTGGTACGTTGCCAATCACTGCCGATTCTCTTGATTGATGATCTTTCTGGTTTCAAGGTGTCTCGATCTCTCCTTGTAGTTGGCATAAGCTCATATGGAAAACATTGAAGTAACATCTGTCTGCTTGTGCTTTTCCAGATTACCCCTGTCACACCACTTACCTATAAGCACCTGAAGGATCGCCTGTGAAAGGCAGCGAGGACCGGTGGCATCAACACCTCCAGGGTCCTGTACCGGTCATAGCTGGCTGCCATTAGGCTCCATCTAAAAAAGAAGAGCAGAAGAAAAAGAAGACATGAATATGGGGGAAGGGATGACAAGGGGTTTCGCAGTCTTTTGACTCTGATCCGTCCTTCTCCACACATTCCCTATAGCTCCCAACCCCCCCAGCGCATGCCTGCAGAGCAGTGCCCTGCATTCTTTTTAATATATCTACTCAGATGACAGGCATGATTTAGTTTCTTTCTTTTACTTTTTAAAAATACTAGCTTACAAACGAATGCATACACAGCTGCCTTGTCAGTAGCTCTATCCCACTGCTGTGTTTTAACAAGCAGTTGTAATAATATCCACTCCAAGAATGGTTCACCTGCATGAAAGACGGCTCAAAAGAAAGCTTCACTCCATTGATGTTCTGTCACTGTATGCTGCAAAGATTTTAAAGAAGACATAATGTCCTATATTCTGCAATGGTTACACTTTGAAAGTTTATTCCACTTTATTGTCATGACACTTTTCCACGGTCATTATTTAAATGGTTATTTTCAGAAATTACACTCGGGTCAAAATAATTCATGAAGAAAAGTTTTTCAGGTTAAAGATGATTATATAAAGATTATATTGTTATTAGTTTGTTATATGTGGAGTTAATAGCGGCCATATTACCACTCAATCCAAAACGTTTGTGTGTGTATGCAAGATTGAGAGATAGATTAGAGAGGAAAGCAATCTAACATTGGAGAATGACCTTAATCTTCAAACCTCAGAGATAATTTAAGACTCAATTAAAGATGAGAAAATTAATATATGTGCTGTACTGTATATATAGCTATAGGGATGTGTACAAACATCTGCTCCAAGCCAAAAAGATGAACGTAATGCGATCTGATTCTGTCCACACCATTGTGACCCGAAAGTGAGAAGTCGGTGTGTGTGTCTGTGTGTGTTACATAAGTGAGTGTTGGATGAGAAAAGCCAGACACCTCCGTGTGTCATGAAAACCAGGATTACTTGAACCTCTAGATATAGTTTGCTTAGACATTTGCTGCACTATTAAAGAAGCTGGTTTCTTCATAGCATAGATAGTCACTTAGGCACATTACAATATGCCTGAGGACACACACATTAACCACACATTGCACACATGCACTAAAGCCTAAATGAGGTATTTATGTTCATCACTCATTATCTAGTTTGCATAAATTGTCCTAAGCAGGCCAAAGTTGGAGTGTAAAGAACATCAACTCCCGACCTGCCGCGTCAACACAGTTTGTGTCACCGTGCGGCTTCACCCTCCATTTCCTTCCTTCTGTTTTTGGTCACGTTTTCTGACTGACAGGAAGACAGAGTTTTGTTCCTTCCTCTAACTTCTTGTGTGTACTGCTTCATACATTCCATTCAAACATGCCATCATTTATAAATCACCTTTTTAGATACTGTTTTCTGAATATAGTTTTCTGTTTTTTCCACAAACATGTATTGTCTATTTGGCATATTTATTGTTACCTGTACTTTTACTCACACATGTTATACTTTTATTGCATAAATCTTTTTTTTATTGTCCAAGGGGTTAGCTTTGTGCCAGTTGAGTTTGTCTGTTTTACTGCAGCCCTGATGTGAGTCTGTGCCAATCCCTTTTAATAGTCTTTGTCCTACATGCAAAGACAGGCAGCCCCCCCCAACACTCCCAGTATCCCAGAGTCAAACTCTGAACCAATGCCACTCCTTTTACTGATGATACCTTTCATTCATCTTGTGTTTTGCTTTACAAAATCTGTCAGTGTGAGGATTTTATACTTTAGTAATACGCTGATTCCTGTTCACACATATCTCCAGCACAGTACTTTGAAGTGCTGGCCTTGTATTCCACTCCACTGACTGTAGTCTAACATATCTGATACAGTGCATCTGCACAATTGCAGTCATAAATGCCAATTACATTTAAATGAATGCTGATTTGTTCTTAACAAATGCACAGCGACATTTTCTACAAAGGCCGCTTGTTTTTTGACAGGAATACGAATGCTATTCTTTACTCTGTGACATGTCACATGTCACCTCCACACTGCACTGAGCCGGAGACCCTGGATGTAAGAGGACAAGCTGAGAGGGGCTGCCTGCTTTGTTAAAAAAATATAAAACCTTTAAGTGACATCAGAAATGCTATTTTCAGAGCTTAAAAATATCTTGAAATCTAACGTTTTGCCTGTCTAAATGAAAAGTATAACATGATGGATTGTATTTTTAATGCAACCTTTTTCCAGCCACTTTTGTAAGAAAATGTCAAAATGTAAGAATAAAAAGCAAGAGAGGCTCTGTGGTTGTGGACGCTGTCCCTGTCTGTAAAGGGCTGGAGGTGGACTTCTTCAGGCACCTCAGCAGCCCTGCGTCATGAAGCAGGGATCCCCCCCCACCTCCAGCCCTTTGGGTCTCCAGCCTCAACACTCCAAACCTCCAAGCTGAATGTACCTCTTTGAAACTAGTATGTTCAAAAACCTGAAGATTTTCTGAAATAAAGCAGAATGTTTTGAAGATAAACTGCCTTGTAGTGCTTCATTATGCCAATGTTTATGTCAGCAGGTTTGTCTGTGTGTTTGTGTGCGTGTGCATTTGGCCACACTAAGCAGATGCTGTGGTAATGAGATGGCTGAGAGGCTAAGCTGGATCAGCTGAGTGGCTGCGTATCAGGTCGGCGTACTGCTGCTCTCCCCCTGCTCCATGTGTGGCCTCACATCAAGAACACGTCAAACACTGAGGAGGTTTACATACTGTACATACATACAAGCATTTATCAGTTTTCTCCACTTAAATATCTACTGTTCATAAGCAACCATCCATTCACAGTAGTTGTGGGCTAAGCAGTGGGGAATTTAGTTGAGAAAGGCTCTGTGTATCAGTATGTACACAATGACACCCTTTCATATTTGTTCTTCTGTTTGAATGTGATTGTTGTCTATTAAAGGCTGTGCTTTGCATGGGCCAAACTTGTTGGCTGAGGGTGTGGTGCATTTTCATTTTCTGTTTACAATAGATCTATTCTCCACTGTGTGTGCATCTATATTATTGTAAAGCTGAAGAAAGTGGGACATGAACATGGCAGCCAGACCGCCTACGATCCAGCCTACTGTAGTACAGTCTGCCTAATACTGGGGACATGGAAAACAGCACCAGGGAGTGCGAAGTGAGAGGAAAAGTTGGTAGGGAGTTGGCAGGAGCAGAATCTTGAGCACTGCTTGTTGCAGAGCTGACGCACTGAAGCCCAGGGAGAGAGGAGAGGGGAGGGAGGGGGAGAGGAGGGGAGGGGCGACAGAGAGACACAGCAGTGGCCAGATGGAGCCTAGTTTGTTTTGAAGTAGCTGCTGCTAAAACAGGACAGTCAGCCGGCACTAGTTTGTATGTGTAGGAAAATATCTAGTCTAGACAACAACAGGACTAAAAACCCTCTTAAGTCTTCCGTCACTGTGAAGTGTGGAGTCACTCTATGCGGCTCAAGGTCAGGAAGATCCTCAGGGAACTGTTCCGTCTGGATCCTGGGACCCGCAGAGGCAGGTGGGCATAAGTTTCCTTGTGGCAGCTCCCAGATTGGATCATTGGGACACTATGCAGGGCTGCAGGACTCTATGGAGGATGTGAGGCCTGGATAATACCTCCCACCACAGCCTCAGTTCTCTCAGCCTGATCCAGGGTCGGACACGGAGGGAATGGGCCCAGCTTCACTGCAGGAGGAGAGAGAGGAGGAGAAAGAGTCCAAGAGGGAGATGGAGAGCTACCGCTGCCTTCTGCAGGCCGGCTCTCAGCTAGAGAGCACTCTGCAGCGTGAGTACACATGATGCTGACTGTCCTCATTTCACTTCTGCTGGCCTCATGCAGGTTTTTGTATATAATCCTGTATCTGCTTTAAAACTATTTCCCATTACTACATTTTAGCAGACTGACACTTAAAAGCACTGTAGCAGAGGTCCATTTAGTTTGATTGACAGTGAACATTAGTAACTTCTGAGAGCCATTACAGGAAGTAACTGGAGAACTGCAGCCTGTATCTTAGATTAGTCAGTATTATCGATGGGCCAGTTCATGCAGCTTTGCTCAAACACCGGGCCATTGCAGGGATTATGTTATCATCCCAGATGGAGAGATATTTATCAGTAGTGATGATTTAGAGAATATCTGCAGACGGTGGGTTGTATGTTAAATTGGGACAGTGCTCAAAGAAAAATCCATACTGCTGATGTTCTAAAAGTACTTAATGTGTCTTCATGATGTTGTGTCATGTATTAAATGGGGGGCCAATAAAGTGTCTACACTTTTTCCTGAAGCAGCAACTGAATTTAGTCAGGAAAGGAAGAGCGCAGGGCCTTTAAAATACTATTTTATTACTTCTTAAATAATGTTAGGAGTTACAACATATATTTACCATACAACAGTTACATTGTCTGTATCACAAGCAGCATTACCCTCCTCAACATTTGTCAGTCATCACTCTATAACCATTTTTATAAATGTCAGAATAGATAAAATAATGAAGGCAAGGTGATCGACAGAAATACTGTCTGATGTGATTGACAGCACTATCGAGGAGTGTCCTCCAGAAGCTAATGTGATTACTTTGGGATCTTGGCTGCATCATTGTTTAATTGATGGGCCTTTGCCTATGTATGACTCCTGTGGGTTCATTGCACCTGGGCTTGTGTGTGTAGGTAACAGAGACAAGGCCACGCTGAGTTTCTATTTATACCAGCCAACGTTTTTTTATCTCTGGGTTTGTCGTAATCTGCTTATAGGGGATGCAGTGGTAAGCATAAAAAACACTGCTGTATGAAACAAAAACCATAGATCATCATTTCAGTACGTGGTAATGATACAATATCCTCTCACATTTACCCTTTTCCCTCCACACATTTCTACACTTTCCTTTCTGTCTGAGCCTTCTTTGGATCATTTAAAGAATGTGAACAATTCCAAGTGAACTTGTAATAATCACAATACTAACAGGGTCCTTTTGACCCGGGGTCTTATGACTGTGTTGTTAGGCAAAACCCTAAGAAAGACTTTACTTCCCCTTGAGTATGAGCTAAATATTTATTTTTGTGTTTTCTTAATTATCAGTTAAAGTCTATGTAACTGTAAACAAGTATTCAATCTGTTTCAGTAAACAATAACACATGTTTCAACGCTGGCGCTGCAGTTTGGTACATAAAACAGACTCTTAAAACATTCTCATTCTTGCACTGCCAGTTCAACTACAATCTGACTTCCTTTAGTCTCTGCATGTCAGCTAGACTTCAACTCATAGTTGTTTGACTGACACTTTACTACCTAACAACAGGATAAAGACTTCAATTATTCACAGGGCACGGAACCCAACTAAGTCCAACAGTTTTGTTTAAACTGTAGTTCATTGCCTTTCTTTTAAGATAGCAGTCCAAATAATGTTGTCTCTCAGAATTCTACAGTTTAGCTGCTTTTAGTGTTTATTCGTTGAATGGCTTTTCATTTGGTTTAATGATATTACGTCGTAGGCTGACATTTCCCTTGCTTTAATGTCTTACTTTTCAGCTCAGTTTAACTGCTTTCAGCACTAATTCTTCACGTATATAACCTATCGCTGATGCTTAAAGTGCTTATGTGAGTTAATGTGAAACTGAAATGTCCTCTCCTTCGAGGAAATGACACTTCAACTCATTTAAATGCGTAAAATGCCTCAACTTAGACTGATATTTCCACATTTGCGTGCATACAAATACCATTTCAAATACATGTTAGCTTGCTTCTTGATTTTCATCATCAATAACAACAGAATCTTCTATATAAAAAAAATAGTACTTCTAGTTTTCTCTACAGCGGTGTAGTAGATGCTAAACAATCTGATTATATGACAGACAGTCACATTGATAAACCACTATACAACTAGAATACTACAGAAACTAGTAACCGATAGATCAAGGAAAACTAAAATATTCTTCTTTCGACACCATAAAGTATGTTGATCTATTTGAATGAATCAAATGTTATCAAACCCACGACATTACTCCCATAGGGGCTGTCCAGTCAAATATGTAAAGCTTTTATCTAGGGTTTACTGTCTATCTATTTTCTAGCCTTTAACCAATCTAGTTTTCATGTATCCCTGCATGTTCTTCTACCATTTTATATCAGCATTCAGCCGCCCACCAGTTTAATCCCCTTAGCATTGAAAGCTTTGTTTAGCAAAATATCTCATGACCCAAAAGCAGTATGAGGCCTGTGGGTACTGTGAACATGTTTGTAAGAAGGGATTTCTTCCTCTGCAAGGGATTACATGTTTCCACTTGTGCAAAATCTGACTACAAATAACAATCATGCTGGGTATGTGTTTAACATTCAAACCAGCCTCTCCTTTTGCTGACATTTGGTATGATTCACTAAGACGTACGAAAAATGTTTGGCGCCTGTTCATTAATTGGTCATTCAGTAAATAAAATGATATTGTTTGCCCTGAGAAAAAAGGTATTTATTTACAGAATTATTCAGTAGATATTCAGAACAAAGTAATCTCAAAACAGCCTCAATATGTGTGGGTTAAATGTTCTGTCAACCTCTTCAAATAAATTGTTATGGTGCATATCAAATGTATACATGTCTCTTTGACTCCTTTGACACGCTTAATTTTCTTCATGAGACATTTTAAAATAGCAATAATGAAATCCCCTTTGAATCAATGTTGTAAAAGAATAAAATGTGGAAAAGTACAAGGGGGTTAAGGCTTTTCATATGAACTGTATGTAATGAAGTCAGTGTGGATGCTTATCACTGTTTGGACAACAGAGATAAGCATTCAGCTTTGTATGCAGACTGGAAGATTGATCTTGATGTGTGGATCTGTTTGACTGGCAGCTAAGCTCTGTTTCCATCCACACTGGCAAACATTATTCTTTATGTGTGTGTCAGAGCAGAGGAGCAAACAGAGGTTATTTGACTTTCGCCTGTGCAAACCATCCAGCATGTCAACTGGAAAGGTCATGATAAAAGCAGAATCACAACTGTCCTACTTTGATTTGATTTTACGGTTTAAAATGTGTGTGTAGATGTGAGTTATTAAAGCTAAAACAGTGCTTCACTTTATATCTGTCATTGATGGACTACAAGGCCTTTCATGTGACAGTGTCTTAAAAATAACTTAGTCATGTGATAGGATGGTGTCAGGCAGGGTTCGGGAAGAGTACAATATTTCCACAAACTGGCAAATTTATTAACAGCGTTGCAGTTTGCTGCACAGGCTGCCCTTGCTTTGATCAAACACAGGTCCGCAGTGTGTGTGTTTGTGTATCAGTGTGTTCCTTTTTTCTTGCATCGACTGCAAGATTAGAAAACGTATCCATTACATAAACCCATGTAGTTAGATCTCACCAGCGTACATATTGTTCTATATAGACAAATCAAAGCATGATATATCTGTACACTGCAGTTATCCAAATGGAAAATGACATCTATTTGTTTAAGACCTGTCTCAACTTCCAGAAGGTCTTGTGGCACAGGGTATAAATGGTTATACAACTATTGCAGTGTGACGGAAACTTTACCCTGCATCTGTGTGTGCACAGTCCATCCATTGGTCCTGCTTGGCTCAGCCCCTCTCTGTTACAGACGCACATCAAATATTCAGCAGGTACCAGTAGAGCTCATTACCTTCTCCCTGACAGCCTGATGGACTCTGTAACTGCAGTCGACGCATGGAAAATAACACCTCTTCTTCCTTTTCTCTCTCTTCTGACCTCTGTCATATTCTCTTCTGCAATTCATTTTTAATGTCTTTATCCATTATGGATAAGAAAACGGTGAATTGTGAGCAAATTGACTGCCCTGTCAATCTGTTGCATTAACTGCTAAACATGTAGTTTAGTAAGGTTTTAATAACTAAGTCCCTCAGAATGTATTTATTTATTAGTAGTATTATTAGTATTCCTGTGTTGTTGTTGTTGTTGTTGTTGTTGTTGTTGTTAATATTCTTGGAAAGAAAGCTATAAACGACTTGTTGAGTTTCCCTTATTCACCCTCTACACATAAAAAGTCTACTGTGTATACATTGTGAGAAAATACAGTCTCAACATGTCTCCTGTCTACACATCCATCTGAATAATTCCTTGTGCACCATAGAGCAGATGAAAGCCTGATTTGAAGTACACTGACTACGCTATAAGAGACTGCATTTATTAGCCACTCAGACTAGAAGTCCAGTGGCACCAAGCACGAGACACTGGGCCATCTGCCAGTTAACTTAATATTACAGCAACATCCCTTCAGACGCTGTACAGTAAATTAGCTAATGTCTTTTAAAGATGCCAATGTCTAACTTGCACCAGATGCAGGATACACATCAGCCTCAGTGAGAAAGCAAATAAAGTCGACATTTCTTCCGAGTAATGTCATGGAAAATCACTTAAAACGAACAATAACATCTATATTTTTAGATTAAGGCATATAGGTAAGATTATCCGTCTTTTAAATGTGATTACTTTAATGTTTTCAATGTAAAAAACTAAAAAGACTTGGGAAAAAAGACCCATTCAAAAAAACTCTTGGACTGGGATTTTGTGTATTTAAAAGACTATAACATTGTTCTTTAATTTGAAAGTTACTTGACTGCCATTTACAACTGATTATTTTAAACTAAGTTATGTTTATAATTGAGACCCTTAGTTTTCCAGTGCACACCACTTTTCTAAAGACTCTATAATTTTGTTTCATCTTCCAGAGGTGACTGTCCCTCTAAGCTTGAAGGAGGTGGGAGGCTACATAGAGAAACAGGTGGCATACTTGTCAGGTGAGGCCTTTTTGAGATATATCTTAATAAGAGTTTAAAGCGACTGAGTTTCTAACCTCTGATGTCATGATTACAAATAAATTGATTGATCATATCTTTCTTCCCAGGGGGCCGTGGGGAAGACTCCAGCGTCATCATCACCCTCCCAGAGAGCTCGGCTTTTAGTGACATTCCAGAGGGAGCTTTAGTCAAAGTCTTTACGTATCTCACTCTCATCCCTCGGTGCGTCCTCCTTCATAAATAGCTGTCTAATTCTCTCCCTCTCTCTCTCTGCAGTGCACCAAAAGCCCAGCTCATGTATTCTGAGCACAGCTGGTCCTTACTGCTCCATAGTGTCAAATGTCCTACTCGTGCCCTCTATGTCCAAACCTCACTCCCCTTAGAGATTAGGAAATTAGATAATGTCATTGCAGTGCATTTGCAATAATAAAGAAATGATGTATATAGCTTAAAGCACCTATAACTTGACTAATCCACCTGCTCTTGAATGGTTATCATCTCATTTTCTCGTGTTATAGCTTTAAATCACAGAATGACATTACAGCTGTACACATTTGCCCAATTTGTCTTGCAGAACGAGGCAACCCGGAGTCAAATTTATCATCATTTTAGACCGGAGACTGGATACATGGGCCTCTATCAAAACTGCACTTGCCAGGATAGCAGTGAGTTTCATATTATATTTTATCCTTATAATCAATGCCACTACCATTCCTAGACTGTTTTGAAATCATGTATATGACTAACCATTGCTTTTCAGCTGCAATGTGGCTGTGTTCAATTGCTACTGTTTTATTTACGAGTCGTTGTCCATGGTGCTTAAAACCTGAGACATACCTGGACAGCACAGTCAAAAATCAAACTACCATTTCTGCATCTTTCGAATTGGTGGGTAGCTCTACAGTATGTGGTGTTTAGTCTGAGGTGAAGGGTAAACTATTTGTTTGTACTGAATGTCCTGTTACATATTGCTGCAAATGAATGAGTAAGCAAAACGTGTTGTGATGACGCGGGGTGCTGAGCAGGGGATGAGCAGGAAGGCGGGAGGGAAACATTGCAGTCAGGCTGCCACCCTCCGCCTGAGAGGAGCGGCGCTGCGGCTCAGCCGGCCGCCGACCAGCTGCTCAGCGCGGCACCATCTCCAACGGACGGGCGGGAACTTACATTGAACCGAGATGGCTTCACACACCATGGCTGATTGTTTTTACCGGCGGGGAACGCCGAAGATCCGCCGGACAGCGGTAAAATAAAAAATCCTGCTTAGTTTTATTCACCGTGTGAAGAGTTTAGGGCGAAGTTTTTGGGCGGGCAGGGTGAATGCGGCACTGGCCCCGGCTGTCTGTCTGCTGAGTGCAGCACTGCGGTGCGTCTCTGCTTAGTCATGCGACTGGCTGTCTGTGAAACCCAAACAGACTTAAATGCGGGATTTTAATGCGTGTTTATGTTGAAATCCGGAGTTTAGGTGAACGACCCTTCGTGGTCGAGTGAGGACATAGGAATGTCAGAAGTTGCGTATAGGCCTATGCAAATGCATGCCATGGTGATATAGCCTATCAAGACAAAATAGGAGGCAATGTTGCATAGGCTACAAATCCTCTGCAGAGATTGCTTTTGCATCCCTCTGATGAAAATGTGAAAGTTTCCAAGATTATTTCAACTATATGAAATGTCATTATTTTACCTTTTTATTTGTTTGGTAAAAATATGTCATGCTATAATGTACTGTTAATACATGCTGTAATCTCGACTAGAGCTCCATACTGTCTGTGCTAATGCAGACATTCCTGCACAGTCAGGCGACCTCAAACGACCTAAAGATGAAATGCAGCATTTAACAATGACATGCTGTATGAGTAGTATAGTTAAGTGAGTGAACCTTGAATCCGTTATGCTGGAGTAACAGTGGGACTGACAGGATGTCACAGACCTGAAGTCTCTCCTGTCAGATCTGCAGGAGGAGAGCTTGTTGATGCTTTTGCTCAGTTCAAACCTGTGCCAGCGTGCATACAGGAGTAAGTGTATATTGCCCCTTGAGCCGAAACACAACGTTTTTTCTTTACTGAATCCTCCTCCATACCAGCATCATCACTATGACAGTGAACCTCTCTTTCCTTCTCAAGGCCTCGTTTCCTGGGAACCTCCACCTGGTCTTGGTGCTCCGACCCACCAGCTTCTTCCACCGCACTGTTACAGATATTGGCTTTCGCTTCAGCCAAGAGGACTTCATGCTCAAGATGCCAGTAAGGCAGCTCCTCCTCAGTTACCAAACATGTCCCACACCACAACAAGGTACACCTCGTTCTTGTTACAACCCTGATCTCCATGAGTCAAAATGTTCTGGTGGACACAGCCAAGAACACATGTTGATTTCAGTTTTGAAACAAATAAAGATACATAAAGCAGATATCCTAGAAAGGATTCTAGTGATTTCATTAAGTTAATTGTAAAGTATCAAAAGTAAAATATCTGATATTTGTCATGCAATCCCCCCCAAAAAATGTTGTACAACCTTGTGTACATGCCAGTGGTTTGAACACTCCTTTATTGACCAATCACATCTCACCCATTATGGCGAACAGACTTACCCAAATTATATTTATATTAAAATAAAATCAAAAATATATTTCAAAAACACCAAGTAAGGATATACCTAAAACAAAAATTCTAAACATGGCACTTCTAAAAGTATAGAGTTTTCTGTGTGCGGTCTTAGATTGTATCTGCACCTTTAGGTGGTGATGCTGAGCTCTGTCACAGACCTGCTGCACTACATCGATGAGAACCAGCTGACTTCAGAGTTCGGAGGCACTTTGGACTATTGTCATAGTGACTGGATTGTTTTACGAACAGTAAGCAGCAAACATTAATACTGGAGAACTATATGTCTTGGTGTCTGATATCAACCAATGGCTCTGTATTTAAACAACACTGAGCCACAGATTGTTTCACAAGTCTTAGTATTTCATTTTTGTTGTTTTTTGACTCTATAAAGGGCATTGAAAGTTTTGCCGTCACAGTTAAAGACATTGCACAGATGCTGCAGAGCTTTGGCACTGAGCTGGCGGAGACGGAGCTGTGTGATAATGGGAAGGCCATTGAGTATCTCCTTGAGTCTCATACTGAAAAGTACAGGAAACTCAAGGTGAGGTTTCAAATGTTTTCGTACGGATTAATTTATTAATACTACCACAATTATATATATATGTATCCTCCGAATATATCTAGACGCACTATTTTGAATATTGCTCATTTAATATTTAAATTGCCCTCCGTCTAACAGGATGCAATCAGGTCAGTTTCAAAGGAAGGGCGTCATCTTCTTGCAAGCCTTGAGACCTCCGGAAAAGAAGATGACTCCCAGTGGGATGTGAAAATGGACTGGGAGACAGTACAGAGGTAAGGCTGCCCTCTTTGGTTTAAGAACATTCTCATGTATCATGATATAATTGTAAACTTCGAATTGTTAACTATTAGTTATTCACAATGAATTAGATCTATGACACAGTGACTTGTTTTTTTCAGGCTTCTTGCCCAGCTCAGAGACATGGAGTCAGCCTTTGATGGCTTCTTTGAGAAGCATCATCTGAAACTCCATCAGTACATGCAGTTGCTCAGATATGAACAAAGCTTTCAGGAGGCAAGGCATCTATATATTTATCATGTGTACATGTGTCTATGCTTTTTGGTGTTTTCGCCAATATTTCCATACACCCACCCAAGAGGATATGATCTCTTTATGAGATTAGGGTCAAGGCAATCCTCAGCCTCAAGATTAAATTAGGTTTGTAATACCTCTGGGAGCCACCAGGTTGGCTTTGTATTGGTGTTTTAATTCATTTTAGTCTTTGTTTATTCAATGTGTGTTTTGACTCTAGATGGAGTTGTGTCTGGAGCATCTAACAGGGCAGGAGAAGGAGCTGTCCATAGCTGTGGACACTCTGGCTCAAACAGAACAGGCTCTCAAAAGTTTGGACAGTTTGGTATCAAATGCACAGGTCAGTGTTTCTTTGTCAAACTGGCAATACATGCATTAACAGCACCTGTATGTATGCATATAAAATAATAGACTCCTTAACTCTTGTGTTTATTTGTTGGCTCTATCAGGAGGTGATGTCTCGAGCTCAGATCATCATCCTTCATGGACACCAGCTCTCCGCCAGTCACCACTATGCCATGGCTCTTATTATGCAGCGCTGCAACGAGCTCCGCCACTACTGTGATACACTAAATGCTGCTCTCAAAACCAAACACACTCATCTTCTGCAAACACACCAGCTGCTGCTTTGTCTTGGACAGGTACTAAATCATTTGCATCAAGACAAACAGACATCCGAGAACACAGATTGATTTACTGTGATGTGTGTTTTCAACCTTCAGGCCCAAACCTGGTGCGATGATGGAGCATATCTGTTGGCCAATCAGCTGGTGGAAAAGTACCAGTCTAAGATGGGGGCCCAGGCTGCTCTGAGGGACATTGAGAGGTTCCTGGAGGGGGCGCCGTCTATGCTGAGCTCAGGACCGGACGTCCTGACCATCGAGTACGAGGCTGTCATCATGCCTCAGCTGCAGGTCAGTGACCACAGCAATCCTTTTACATTTTAACATCATTTTGGATGTTTTGACTTCTGACTGGAACAGGAAAAGGTTTGAAACTTTTCGTTTTAATTTTTCAGGCCTCAAGTACACACTAACATCTTATATATATATTTTTTCTAATGTTTTATTTATAGGTGTTTTTTTAATTTATCAGACAAGACAAACACATAAGCCATCATCTCACGTAACAAATATGTACAGACATATAGGAAATAAATAAACAAAATAAAAGCAAAACACCATCATCCGAATCAGACAGATCTGAAAAAGCCGCTTGAGGTTCTGCATGTTCCCATCTTTGATCCATTGGTTGTGTTTTGGAGGAGTTACTGTACATCCTTCCATATAAATGGAATTGAGCATCTTGCTAATAAAGAGGAAAAGGGCAGGCAATGACTGTTCTAAGTGAGCTCAGTGATAATTCATCTGAAACTAAGAATATACCAAAAATAGAAATTGCACGATGGGGACACGATTACATTGCTGCCATATTTCTGTGTTTATTTGTTTCTAAATAATGAGAGCTATTTCTGTGTTATCCATCATAATTGTATATCCTACCTCTGTGTCCTTCTCTCTCGCTGTTAGGCTCAGATAGGGAAAACGTTTGAGAAGCATGCAGCCGTGCAGCTGATGATTCAGAGTCGACAGGCCTGTCTAAGGAAGCTCGCTGATAAACATGTGCGACCGATCCAACTGGTTGCCCCCCGCCCCGAAAACCCACCACGCTCCAAGTCCCCCCTCTTCTCCCCCAAACATGGTACGTACACACACACACACACACACAAACACACACGCACGCACGCACGCACATACACACACACACACACACACACACACACACACACACACACACACAACCACACACACACACACACTAACACACACACTAACACGCACGCACACACGCACACCAAGGGGATTCTGACAACTAATTCATACACACTTGCTGATTAAACAGCATTGGGTGACCTAACAGCTCTTTCGTCATATTTACAGTCTCTCTCCCCTATCACTATCAAAAAGAAAAAAACACTGGCACTGTCCTAGTTTTCAACATATACAGTAGGCTTTCTACGATAAAAAACAAATTCCCTATCCACACCCCATGTTTCCCAGGCCCGGTATGGGGGCTTGTGCCAGCCCTTAAGGCTTGGCATCAGTCCCTCCCCCCCTTGGATCTTTGCTTTAGGCTCCATGGTTAAATTAACACATCATAGGGCCCCACTGAGCAGGCCTAAGGTGTTCCTCAATGGGCTTTGGGGTTAGCAGGCCACCTTTACAAAAAGGCTGCTACGAGGGGAGAAGATATAATCAGTCCGCTGGGAAATACCTGACTGCTCTATTAGTCAAGATATCTGCCATAGAACCATATGTGGTTCATATACATTAAAGACCCTTTCATCTCCCTTTGGGTTTCAAGGGAGGTTGCACAAAGCTAACCATATACAGTACAGTGGTACCCAATTAATACCATGTGTGTTTTCTGGTTTGTTTTAATTTGTATTTGAACATATCAATTGTGTCCAACGAATGTGTCTTCATCCATTGAGTATACATCCAAATAGGCCATTTCCATTCATGTCTTTAAGGTTTTTCTTCATGATATGAAGCCATACTAATGAGTGAAGTAACAAGAAAGAGAATGATAGTGATTATAAAACCCCCAATATATCAGAGACAGCAGTCATTTGAAGGAGAGGAGATGAAGGGAAAAGTGGTTAGCTTTGAACGATTGGATCCGGTACATGTATACACTCACATATATGCATGCATATCACTGATGAATGTAACATGGTATATGCAAAGGCTCACCACTCAGTGGAACTTGGACTATCATGTCAGGATTCAGCAGCTACGATCAAAAGGACACTGACGGTGGTGCCAAACGCTCCTTTAGACCTTTACATACCGGATCCTGGCCGCACCTTTAGAAGAGGCCACCTATTAGCATTGATTTCCACAAATGTCAATCAGGACTGATTAATGTTCTTTTTAAAGTTTCTGAGGAACAGAACAGGTCAGGGGAAGGGCAAAGCAAATCCCTTTCAGGCCACCGTGTTCACACTGTGCCATTATAAAAAAAGAATGGTTTCTGACATAGCGTGGGTGCTTGATCTTCTCAATAAACATCATGGTTAAATATTGTATGTGACTTATTCTAATGCACTTTGATGAGCTGCCGATCTGGCTTTTACAGGTGATGGTTTGAAGTTCACATTCGACCTCTCTCTGCCAGGGAAGAGAGCATCCCGGAAGAGCCCCAACTCAAGAAAAGTACGATTATTTCCTGTCCCAGATGCATCGGAGGCCACCAATGTTAATTACATCATTCTTTAGTTTGGTCCAAAAGATGTTTAGTATAATATAATGTTCTGTGACTTCAATTGGATGCTTAATAGTAATGGATCTGTGGTGTGTTCAGATTGAGGTGATCCACGACTACCAGGAGAGCCGGAGTTGCGTGTCGTACTTCCTGGATGGAGAGGACAGCCCAGATCTCTTGAAGCGGTGAGGAGGAGGAGGAGGATCTGTCCTCAGTACTGCTCTTCATGCTGTTACCTTAGTGATTCTCTTTGTTCAGTGCTAATGATGCCCTCTGGCTCTCTCTCGGTCTACTTCTTCGCCTGTCTGTTTGTTTGCGTCACAGTCATGTGATGCGGGAACTCATAGAGACGGAAAGAATCTATGTGGAAGAGCTGCTGTCAATTCTGCTGGTGAGAACGACTACATTTAATGTCACAAAAGTAGAAAATAAGTGTCTGATTGATTCTTCTGTCGACTGTATGTTTGTTGCTGTGACTCGAGGAATATATTTAATGTAAAAAACAACAACCTTAACTGTAGTGCTGCAAGCAATATTATAGCCATTTATTTTGATAATCGATTATTGGTTAGTAGTTTTACATGCAAAAAACAATATGTTAGATTACTGGCTTTTGTCTTTTATATCATATTACAATTAGTATCTTTGGTTTTCAGACTGAAACCCTAGAATTGTATTGACCAAACATTTAATTTAGAAAATGATGAGCAGATTAATCGATAAAGAAAATAATAATTAGTTGCAGTCCTATTTAATGATATGCTATGATTAAACATTTCAGGGTTACAGAGCTGAGATGGACAACCCAGCTCTGTCAGGGCTTCTGCCCCCCATCCTGCGCAGCAAGAGAGACATCCTCTTTGGAAACATGCCTGAGATCTACAATTTTCACAGTAGGCAAGTTAACAACTCACTTCACACATAGACTCTATTCCAATATAAGGTAAGTATGTACAAGTATGTTAAGCATGCAAAAGATTCAATACACATTGTCTTAAGACAAATTAGTTTGATATTAAAAAATAAATACACCATGCTTGCATGACATAAGTCTGTGGTATTGAGAGATTCAATAATAACCACAGTAGTTTAATGATATTAATGTTAATAAAATATGTTTGTGGAAACTCATATATGCAAAACACTTAGTAGGACTAGTCACATGAAACAGGCGCTGGTATGGTTCCTAGCAGCCACTAATGGTTAGTAGATATGGCTTAATATGACTGTGATCTGATGACCTTTGACCTTTCTGGGAATCCAGGGTTTTCCTTCAGGACCTGGAAGGATGCCTGGAAGCTCCTGAAAGTGTAGGAGCATGTTTTCTTGCGCGGGTGAGATGATATATGTTTATATGTTGTGTCAATTTTTTAAGTGATAACCATGTGTTCCAAATTGTCCTTACTTTTTAAAAAGATGTATCTTTCCTGTCTCCTCAGAAAGAAAGTTTTGAAATGTATGAATGCTACTGTCAGAATAAGCCACGCTCTGAGGCACTGTGGGGACAATTCTCAGACTGTGTCTTCTTTCAGGTCAGTTTCACTGATTTCCCTTTCAAAAATAATATTTTGGCTGATTTATGTTTGTTTTAGAGACATGCAAGATAGGACTAATTGTTTCATAAACTAATATGAACCACTGCAGTTCTGAACTGAATGAAACAAGTTAGTACATTTACGTCACCTTTTAAAAAATGTAGAAAATGTATGGAGCTGTGATTTGTCATCGACCACCATTACATTTATCTTGCTTGTATTTGTCTTCCTTCCAGGATTGTCAGAAAAAGCTGGAGCACAAACTGGGTCTGGATTCATACCTGTTGAAACCAATCCAACGCCTCACCAAATACCAGCTGCTGCTTAAGGTGAGACAGAGGGGTATAAAACACAAACAGTCAATCATCTAATGTAGTTCATTGATTTAGTATTTAGATGTGGGGTTCAGTATAGTGTACTTCACATACTAAGTTCACCCCTTAAGCCTCTCTGTATCAATGAAGTCGCTAAAGTAAATACATTTTCACATCATAGGAAAGCTGCCTTTCTGCATACAGTAAATATAAAAATTAAGATTCCCCTCTGTATTTTAAGTCCTGACCACCAGAGTGTGCTGTTGTAGCTGCTTTGTTTATGCTCTGTTTTGACTAAATGTATGTGTGCATTTATCTACCTGCATGCTAGTTCTATTGTTCTAATAAAGATATTCTGATTCTGATTGTTTGTTCATTCAGGAGCTTCTAAAGTACAGCCCAGATTGTGAGGGGACTTCAGAGCTGCAGGGGGCGTTGACAGCAATGCTGGACCTGCTCAAATCAGTCAATGACTCCATGCACCAGATAGCCATCACAGGATATGAGGTCAGCATTCTGAATCTCTAATGCACATTTTCACAGTGAATTTATTGATACTAAAAGCTCATAAATAAACGCCTCTTTCCGTTGTATACAGGGTGATATTTGCGAGCTGGGCCGGGTGTTGATGCAGGGTTCCTTCAGCGTGTGGATCAGTCATAAGAAAGGACCCACTCGCATGAAGGAGCTGACTCGCTTCAAGCCCATGCAGAGACACCTCTTCCTGTACGAGAGAGCTCTGCTCTTCTGCAAGCGGAGGGAGGAGCACGGAGACGGCTGTGACAAGACGCCCTCATACAGCTTCAAGCACTGTCTGAAGGTGCGTCTGTGTTTATGTGCCGTTTGTGTACGTCTAGAGGAATACACTGGTCTTGGTACTTGAATACTATGCTACTTTATAATATTGTACTTTTTCCTCAACTACCCTTATTAAAGCTGTTGGTAATTTAAACTTTCTCCCACTCCTGACAATTTTACACAATTCTGCCCAATACTCACTCTTAAAACAGCTCTTTTTATTTCACTCAGAGAAATGCTGTGTATATCTTTGCACAGTCATTTGTCACAATCCTATTGCATTTTCAGTGTTGCATATTTAAGTTTCCTGTAAACATTCTATGTAAAAGTTTTCATATTACACATTTTCATTTCACAAATTCCTTGTGTTTTTCTACATTACTATAAACCATGTTTGAAGTCTGATACTACTTACTAGGAACTTTAAATAGTTAGATTGTTAATACAGAATATAAATCACCTTAAACATGTTATATTATTAAGAATGTAATCCTTCCTTTACTAGCTGCAACATTGCATCATTAATTATGATCCAGAGGTATAAGGAATATGTTTCTGAAAGCTGACATGCTAATGAGTTATTTTACTTTTGGTACTTTGAGTATATTTTGATATACTTGTACTTTTACTTGAGTAAGATTTTGAATGCAGGACTTTTCAGTGAATCACTTACTATATGTTCTACCTGCTATGGATCTGACTGAATGCTAGTGTCCATAGCATACAGTGTATACAGTACTATGGCTTCATGTTCTGACTTGATGTGTAAATTACAGATATACAACATGAAACATTGATGATTTAATACAAAATAAAACTTTTTTTTTTAAATTCTCACTATAAAGTACACTATTGTGTATCTATTATAAAGAAACTTCTGAATAATTATACTATTAAATAACAGCTCACAGCTTGTAGAGATCATAAAGAATAAGTGGACACATGAAAACGGGGGTTTCCTATTTGTCACATCCAAAAAACTGTCATTGTAAATGTTATCACAACTTATTATGACCCTAATATATCAGTTTGTTACTTTGATAAAAGTAAGTCACATATAATCACTCAACACCGCTATCATTATCAACAACATTATCTAACCTTGCAGGTTTTAGCACTAAATGATGAGGTGAATGATCTACCAGAGACACCTTGTTGTCGTCCGTGTCTGTGTTGTTACATTTCAACACGTCTAAGTTATCCAGCTGGCCACAGAAGCTGGTGTATTCCTGTAAGACTTCTTTTGTTGAACGTGTTGTTTTGGAGGTGATCGCAGCAGGTGTCCCACCAACAGCTGCTGCTCTTGATTTATTATTGAGGATGTGGGGAGGAAGCAGTCACACAGCGGAGGTGTGTGAGAGTGTTGTGTTCTGACAGGACAGATGTGTTACATGATGTAAGTCTGATGTATGACGAGCTGCTCTTCTTAATGCTGTGTGTGTGTCGGTGTAAACAGTGTATGTCTCTTGGCAGATGACTGCTGTGGGGATCACAGAGAACGTCAAGGGAGATGTGAAGAAGTTTGAGATCTGGTATAGTGGCAGGGAGGAAGTGTATGTGGTTCAGGTAAGGAGCCCAAAAAGTTTCATGACAGCATTTCCAGTGGTTAAATATTGTAGCTAGTACAGAGCAGCCGGAAATACTGTAAGTCTTGATTATCAATGATACTTTTAATGTGTTTCAAGCCAAAGATTGCACAAATATACATTGTTTTTATTTTAATATGCTAAATATAATTCAGTTTTAGGGCTGTTGTTCAGGCTCCGGGTTAATTTTCAATGATTTTGCTGACATTTAATAGAAAAATCCTATTGTATAATAAATTGTGTAAAGTGTAAACAAAGGTTTGACAACGACTAGCAACACTGTAGCTTGATAGAAACAAAGTACGTAAACAATTTAACAATCGTCTGTAATAATGTTTCTGTTGTCTCTCAGGCTCCTACATTGGAAGTGAAGATGGCCTGGCTCAATGAGCTTCGCAGAATCCTGACCAGCCAGCAAAAGCTGCTTAGAGGTCTGTAAACAACTAAAGTAAATGTGGGACACTGCATTACATTTAATTTAGCTGATGCTTTAATCCAAAGTGATTTACAATAAGTGAAATAAACCATAAAGAAACAAACAAGAAAAATGTAGGTATTCTAGCAATAAGCCAAACCATTGTAAGTGCTCGTGCATTCGTTTCAATACAAACAATGGGACACACTATCTAAGCTAAGATGTCCAATTACTAGTTTCCTAGCTTTGAACTTCATCACACAGACCCAGAGTGCCTGAAATGTTGTTGAAAGCTCTGGAAGTGGATGTTTCTGCTTTGATTTCCACTTAAATCACATAAAACCTAAACTACCTTCTCTCTCTCCTGTCACAGATGAAGCATATCAACACAGCCAAATGGTTGGACACATGCAGCTTTCTCCCTCCCTCTCTGAGAGGTCAGTGTTTAATTTTTTTTTCTCACAGTGTTTACAGTAGGGTTTTAGGTAGGGCTGCTCCATTAATCGTATTTTAATCGCAATTACGATTATGGCTTGCAGCAATTACGAAAACAACGTAATCGAAATAAAACGATTATTTTTTTATTATTACTTTTTTTTTTTTTTTTTCAAATACATTTTTTTTAAATTGGTTTTTCAGTTGAATTATACTTAAGGTTCAGGGTAATCAACTGTTAAAAACATACTGTTCACATTTTTTTTCTCCAATAAATTTATGTTTTCAAAGTAAATGGATAATCGTTTTTAATAATCATGATATCAATTATTGACCTAAATAATCGAGATTATGATTTTTGCCATAATCGAGCAGCCCTAGTTTTAGGGGCATGACATAGGCTATTGTTGCACAAACATACATGCGCAAACACACAGGCATACAGTATGTAAAACACACACATGCATTCACAGCACTATCTGCATTTGCTGAGTTTTCATGTCTGATCACAGCTGGACTGAGTCAAGTTGCCGTGGTAGAAGCTGTGTGTGTGTTAGTGTGTGTGAGAACGCCGGGCACAGGCCCCACTCTGTCCACTGCTGTCTGGTTGCCTATCCCCACTCCTCCCACCCCCACCTGCAGGGGCATGCGGCCGTCCAGAGGGGTCCCCAGGGGCTGTCTGCCGGGGCTGGACTTTGTGTCTCTGTCAGCTGACTTGTTTCTGTGCCTGCGTTCCCGGAGCCCCCGTCCCCGAAGCCCCCGGCAACGGCCCCGCCCGCGCCACCACTCCCAGCGCCACTGACCTGCCCTAACGCTCAGTGGTAAACTCAGCCTGGCTCACCTCGCCTCGCCCTGGCATGACCCACTCGGCCTGGCTTGGGGACATTACCCAGGGTCGCTGTGTTTGCATACTGATCGTCGCCTGCACCCTCTTTGTATAACCTCCATTCTGGTTCATAACTGACCCCCACGCTCCCTCCACACGTTTAAAGGCCTGTGTCTCAGCAGCTCATCATGGCATTTCTAACATGGTATAAAAAAAAACAACTCTTATTTCTGCCTCTCAGATTTGCTATTTTGCATGTAAGCAAAGGGCAACAAAAAGAAGACTTTTGGTTTTCATTCCATACATTTCCTCATGACAGCTGGTTTTAAAAATGGGGCTCGTGTGCAGCTACTGTAGAATTTGCTTTCTAGAAACCTTCTTACTCAGAGACAAAATCTCACATTTTTGATTTTGATAAATCGAGACCTGATCTTCTGATGTGTGAACACTGAGTCCTATTTTTAAAGAGAAGCTTGCACTTGGCTGATCTGTGCTCTGTGCAGCTGTCTGGTCATGGCCATGTGTGAGAAACAACAGGACAGAGTTGCTCCTTCACACTGATCTGGGGCCAGCTAAACTGTTGGAGGTGTGGATCAGATTCAGGAAGTTAGAGCTGACCCTAGATTGTGTGGCTTAGGATAACATCTATCCTGAGCGTGTGTGCTGACTGTATAAACATTTGGTGACGCGTGTTGTTCCCACAGCAAGCAGCAGAGGGCGTCAGTGAGCTCAGAGGAAACAGAGTCAGGGAGGAGCAGTCCAGACCCCCAGCCTCACTCCCCTAAACACCAGCACAACCGCAAGAGTGAGTCGTGGGTCCACACACATTTATGCCACAATCAAGTAGATACTTGGTAACTAAATCACATAAAAGAGGTTATGGGAATTGATGTAAATCATACACGCTTTGGACAATATTTCACTGCTGATTCTCTTCACAATCTCTAACTGATGTAGGTATTTGACTTTTTCCCCCCTTCAGCTGTTCAGGTGCACTTTGACCTGAAGAACCAGATACATCGAGGATTGTGGGGGGAAAAGGTCCAACTACTGAGATTAGCTTTTGATTCTACGTTCTTGTTAATTTCCCAGTAAGTGACAAAGGGGTCTTTATAATGTGGATATAGTTACTAAGTATCTACGTGGTGCCTTTAAGGTGTAGTGTTTGGATAAATGCATTCATCAATAGCTGTCACAGCCTGAGTTTGTGTGTCCCAGGTTGGCCCGGAGCTCACAACTCGGTAGACATCTGCGAGGGTCTGCAGGAGTGGTCTGGAGGTCAGGACGCCTTCCAACCATCTGACACAGAGGAGGAGGCTTTGGTGCAACTGGTGAGCCAATCAGTGGTGGAAGAAGTACTTGGAAGAAGCAATACCATAGCTTACAAAGAAGAAATCCTTTGTCCACTGTATCAATGCAACATAACTCAGATAAATACAATTACTGCATTAGACAAGTAGGACACGTTTCTTTTTTGAAGGATGTCGTGGGAGTTATTGGGTCACGTGACATGGAAGCTATTGAAAAAAATCAGGACTTAAACAACAAAATAACAGACAATACAGCAGAATTTTCACAAAAGTGTAATGTAATAGAAGTAGTTTTTCAGTGTAGTTATTATATCATAATGCATTTGGAGTCACACGACACATGTCATGAAAGCTTTTGAAAAATAATGATTCACTATTAAAATATTTATTTAAAATAGATTCACAACCTACCTGTAATCAATAAAAGGTGCTCCACATAAGACATGAAACCATATAGTGTTCTATCTGTATATCGATCTTATCTTCACTGTTTAACACCGACCTGATTGTTCCGGGGGTCGCAGCTAAAGCAGTTGAGAACCATTGGTATGTTATTCCATAAAAATACAAAGTCATAGTATAGCTTGCAAAAAAATAAAAACAGTGTATACTATGCAATTAAACGTGTCAGAAAGAACGTAATTAAAATAATAATAATATAAAAAAGAATATAAATGAGATAATAATAAAAGAGAAATCTATTTCAGAATTAGTTTAAATTGTATTCCTGGATTTCCAGTTAGTAAATACAATGATCCAAAAACAATGGATGTCCTAGACTGAAAAGTACAACACTTACCTCGTGATGTTGTAAAGTAGAAGTATAAAGTAGCAGAAAGTGGAAATACTTAAGTTAAATAAAACTGAGTCTTTCCACCCTGGAGACTGAACAAAGTCACATTAGATATAGTTAAATACTCACTATAGATACTAAACTGACAGTCTTTCCTTCTGTGTTAGTCTCCAGGCAGATACATGGCTCTGGGTGACTGTCTACAAAATGGGCCAGACAGCATCACCATCAAATGTGGAGACATCATTCAACTGCAGTGTGAAGACAACAAGGGGCGCTGGTGAGTTCTCAGCTTGTCAATGTGTTTTAGTGATCCGCCAAACCATCCCGTATTTTGATGAGTACAGTATCTGGCTAAAGCAGCTATATGAGATGTGATGTTTTTGTTAGACACCGAAAGGAATGCTAACGAGGTGAAAAGTTGTATTTATCTAATTTCCTCCCCCTTTTCTTTCTCACCCTTTTCTGACTTTTCTTCCTCCTTCAGGCTGGTGAAGAACCTGAGTCAGCGTAGAGACGGCTTCATAGCAGCTACCAGCCTGCAGCTGATCCTAATAGACAGCAGCCGAGGACACTCCTCCAGACTCGGAGGTAAACAAAAGACAAACAGTATAATGTCGAGCCATAGTATTACTTACTGTTCTTCTTACTTACGGTGTCTTTGCAGGTCTCACTAAAAATATATATTAGAAAGCTTCAGCTGATTCAGAACGCTGCTGCTCGAGTCCTCACTAACACTAAGAAAGTGGATCACATCACTCCAGTTCTGAAGTCTTTACACTGGCTTCCTGTGTGTCAAAGAATAGATTTCAAAAATACTGCTGCTGGTTTATAAAGCGCTGAATGGTTCAGGCCCAAAATACATTTCTGACCTCCTGCTAAATTATGAACTATCCAGATCTCTCAGGTCTTCAGGGACTGGTCAGCTTTCTGTCCCCAGAGTCAGAACTAAACATAATTCAGTTATTATGCTCCAAATATCTGGAACAAACTCCCAGAATCCTGCAGGTCCGCTGCAACTCTTACTACTTTAAATCCAGGCTGAAGACTTTCCTTTTTGTCGCTGCTTTTAATTGAACTATTCACATCTTAAACTGCACTGTAACTTTTATCCATGTATTTTTTCTTTTAATTTTTCTTTTATTATCTTTTATTTTTAATGCCATTTTCTTAATGTCTTTCATTTTTTGTAAAGCACTTTGAATTGCCTTATATAATGTGCTATATAAATAAACTTGCCTTGCCTTGCCTTACAATTCACTTTATTTCTTGCAGACCCCATGAACCTGAAGGCCAGAAAGCTCAGCTCCCCGTAGCGAAGAAAACACAGGAAATGTATTTGAATATTTACCTGTGGACGATGAACAGAAGGAACATGTTGAGCCATAGCTGTCCGACCACTGATCCGCCACCCACTCCTCGCTCCCCGGTGACGTCTGCTTTCTCCAGCACAGTTCAATCATTAAAGAGAAAAAAGACCTGATTTTCTTCCAGGTTACGATTGACAATCTACTGGGACGTTGTTTTCTGATGGTGAAGATGTGCTGTGGCACCAGTGCAAAGGCTCAGAAACTGCTTTCCTCTTTTGGACAATCAACAGACGATTTGTGGATCCTGAATTGTCTTCCTCTTTTTCATCTGCAACACACATAAAAGTCAGGATGGAAGGTTGATGCCGTAGCACTTTGTCATTTCACAACCCTTTTCCAGCTACTATTGGAGGTTCTCGTATCTCCGTGTGTGTTCCCTGTTTGTCTCAGAATGTGCTGGATGTATGTTAGTCCAGTATTTGCCTGAACATTTCTTACAGCAAATATTTTTGTATATAGACAGTATCATTTTTAACATGTATTGTACCTCAGTGTCTCATCTTTGTGTAGTGAGTTGTCCATTGAATGACTTCATTGTAGTTTTCTTACATTTCATCTGTCAAGGCACCACTCTTCTGTACAGTCTAGGAGTTAGATTGCCAAAATGTGCCATGCCATAATGCCTTTTGTATTCCTGCTCTTTTAGAGTCTCTTATGTACTGGTTTGCAAAATCAAATACTGCAATCGCTTTAACCCGACCTCACAAATATTCAACTGGCACTTTAATAAGGTGGACGGAAAGGAGAGACAGAAAATCCACCAACTGTCTAACGAATGTGTGCTTTTCTTTGCCTCTTTCACTGTGTATCGTCTCTTACTCATGCTGTTATTTCCTTTATTTATTCCTGACTGTATGATGTGTTAGGGAGTCGGGGGAGAAATACCCCCTGCATGCAGGCAGCAGTTGACATGTCAGTGGCTGTAATGTAAGACACAAGCAGACATGATGATGATTGACGGCAATGTATTCCTCAGTGTGTGCTGTGAGCGCAGAGTAGACCAAAAAGAGAGAGAGAGATTGTGCTGCGAGTGCCCCTCCATCACAGAGGCAGATTGTTTCCTCCTGCCCATTACAGCTCGGTTAATCTCGGGTTCCCCATTAAAAGGGATCATACAGCCAACATGAAATATAGCCTGTGTGTCGAACGCTTAATTAAATATTGATTGCAGACTTATATGAATTTACCACATCAAATCGAGGCCCCAGTCAGAGGGCTGCCTTTGATTTGTTTTGTTTGATATGGAAATGAGTCTGAAAGCAGCAGGGGCTGCCGCACACTACACATTTCCTATGTTGTTAATTTATTTATTTAGCTGTCATGTTGTTCCTTCATATTGTGAGGTATATATGCGCTGACGAATGAAATAACATCTCCATATATTTACAGGAGTTACGCTTGACTACACATCAAAACCCCATTTTCATTTGTTTAGCTTTTACAAATTCAGTTATTGTTCTTTTTGGAAATTGAATCCAATATGCTGCAGATTTTGCACAGATTCCAGGTTGGAAAACAAAAGAAAAACCTGCTTGAGACATTATGTATCCTGATGAGCCTGAGATTGTTGCTGAATGTTCCTTTAAAATGAAAATGCATGGCAACCGAACAATGAGCAGGTTTCTTTTGTTGGACTCACTGTTCTAAACGGCTTGTTTTTTGAACAGCTTCAGTACTGTAAAAGATAATCAAAAATCAATTATATTATGCAATAATTGTTTTGGTGATAATAATTCAACACTTGTTTTAACAAAGTGATATGTTTGGCTTAAACCTAAGGCTGCTCTTTTTCATATTATGTCTGTATTCTTGTTTTAATGTAAGCCAACTTGTATGATAAAACTGTGCAGACTTTTACCTTGTGTGAGTTTTTGGTCACATCATTTAACGTTGGAGACCTTTTGTTTCCCTGCTTGAGTACCACTACTTGCAATAACATGTATTCACCAGCAGAGGGGAGTGATGTGTGTTTTTGTTACTGTAAACAATGCATTACAGGCATGACATACATTTGATGTTATTTATTTCACAATATTTGTTATCGAATGACATAGAAAATCACGTAAGTATCTTTCAAATGTTTGTAAAAGTACACATATAGCATCATTTTCTTTACCTGGGTATTCCTTATAATGGTTTTGTATGAAATTGGCACGGTGGATTTTAATGGATCTTCAGTCAATGTAAATTATGTATTAATGCCTTTAGTTATCAAACTACTATCGTGTGCAAAACATTAGAAAGCAAAAAGAGATTTTAACATTTGTTTACAATTCATATTCTTGAAATCTATAATTCATCAATTTCAGGGTCAGGGTCTTCCACATCACTGGCCAGCCTGTGTTTAGTTATCCCCATCACATGGTTGATCCAGCGGTAGTAAAGGGACACCCGGGTGTACACACCATATTTCCCCTGCTTTGCACATTCATCCCCCCAGCTAACAATGCCCGTGAGGAACCATGTGTCGTGCATACTGTTAGTGTGGGGCCCTCCACTGTCCCCCTGACAGGAGTCTTTGGCCTCGTCGTAGTATCCGGCGCAGAACATGAAGCGAGTGATCCTGGCGCTGCTGCTGCGCTTACACTCCGTCCGGCCTGTGAAGGGAACCTGGACCTTCTGCAAAGTGTCCGCCGTTAACCCGAGGAAGCGGATCCGGCCCCAGCCGCTCACCGTGGCCGGGGTAGACCCCTTCACCAGGGCCTCAGTGAAGGCCTTGGGCCCGATGCAGATGGGTCGGACTGTTGTGGAGAAGCTGATGGGGTTTTTGAGGTACAGCAGGGCGATGTCGTGGTTATACAAGCTTAGAGTGCTATTATATCTGGGATGCACGTGCTGCTCCAACACGTCATAATCCTGCTCCGTGCCCTCTTTGATGTTGATGTTATGCTCTCCTGCAGGTAGAGACATTACAGATATCAGTGGATAGATTAACTCTATAAAATAAAACATGCAGTGGATGTCTCAAAACAGAAGGGATCATACATTTCCCTTGGAAGTGTGGCAAATAACATCACATTAAGATGAAATTATTTCAAGGACTACGCACATGCTGCAAAGCTTTACTCTTGGGCTTTCATCATGATTATTTGGTATGATTATAGTATTAAGTGTCTTTGTTATCAATTATCAAATAAATCCAACAATCGTTTGCTTGATTTATCTATCAATCATTTGGTACATGCATGTAAATTGCATAGTAGAAAAATAGGCCTGGTACAAAAAAAAGTCATATATTGACATTTTTCTTTGGACTACCAACAGTCCAAAATCCTCAGATATGTTGTCAAATATTGCATAAGACAAGCAGCAACTCCTTACAACTCAGAAGCTAGAAGAGATCTCTTGTCCTTTTTGCTTAAATTAAAAATGAATCAACTATCAAAATAGACAACTTGTTAATGAACAAATCAGTGAATTGACACGTTATTTTAACTCTTCACAGAGATCCTGCCTCCGGCCTTAGCGGAGGTGAGACTTGTCGGTGGTTGTGATTCTTACCTACTCTGATGAAGAAGGAGCGTTCTGCCTCCATCAGGCAATGAGCAGCAGTGATAACCCATTGATCGCTGAGGATGGAGCCCCCACAGAATAAATCACCAGAACGCTCTACCAAGGCTACCTGAACAAAAAGCAAGACAATCGCTGAGAATAAGAAAGTGAATAGAGCTGCTGTTCTGTCTCCCTTGTGTACCAAAGCCTTACATGCCAGATATACTTGAACTTCTAAACAATACCTGCCATGGGATCTCGCCTGGGATAACCGCTTTGCCTCCTACAATGCGTTTAATAGGTATGGGTGGCTCCTCTTCAGGGGCCTCAGCATCACGGAAAACCCACCAGGGCAATTTCACTCGGGAGTGGATTTTTACAGAGTTATTTGTAGAGGGAGAAGTTGCCGGGGTACTGGCTGGAGTTGACGGAGGGGATGCAGTAGTGGAGATGATGGTCGGAGCTGTGGTGTTCTGCAGGCTGGCATTCCCATGGCCGAACAGAGAGCGAGAGAGTACTACTGCACTCACCTCCGTCAGGGCAGTTCTGCCACATGGAAACTCCACTAGTGATGTGAGAAAGGAGGAGTCGCATCGTTGAATTTAAAAGTCATTATTATGATATTTAGAAGAGACATAATCAGAGACACATCGATACCTTCTGCTTCACAGTTAACTCCGTCCTGCAGCAGCCTGTATCCTCGCACACACGAGCATTTTGCTCCAACGGGTCTCATTGATTCACAGAAGTGCATACAGTCTCCGTTGTTCACATCACACCTTTTTGATATAGCTGAGGAGAAAACATGCGTTATTCATTCAAACCCATCCTCTTAGTACATATATACAATGACATGTTGATGCCATACTGTGTACGTGTTGTTTTGTGTGAATACTTTTTTGCACAGAACGAGGGCTATGTATTTTGTCCCACATCTTTTACATTGAAAAAGAAAGAGAAGATATCTTTTGACGTCCATCATCGACAGAAGAAATCATTAATACAAGCACAACTTGTTTTAATGTCCACGTCTCATACCTATTGTAAGACAGACTTTATATTGTGAACCTATCCTTTAAGGACACCTTCAACACTGTCAAATACAAGTGTGACTTAGGAAATGGCACCCACTTCACAGAGGGCACTTTGACAGCTGTTTTTAAAATATCCATAAAGACAAACAATCTAATTTTGGAACCTAAAACCTGAATGATGCTGGATGCAAGCTTTTGATTGAATTTAGAAACAAAAGGAGGGTAAAATAGGCATCTGGCTGTTTATCCTGTGAGACTGAGATCTGATTTGATTTGATTTTCGTATTCTTTGGATCATATGACATAAAAATCTAATTTCTTTTGACTAGATTTTTTTATTGAGCGTCTGATCTTTCACTTACCGATCTCACACCTACTGCCAGTCAAGCCAGACGGACACGTGCAGGTGTAGAAGCCCAGGTGGTCTGTGCACGACCCTTGGTTCAGACATGGGCTTGATTTACACTGATTGCCATCTGAAGAAAAACCCAGACATTTTACTTTAGTACAGCAAGGTTTAAAGGTTAGAAAGAGAAGCATCTTTGGAGGCTGATGTCGGATGTCTTACCTATATATCCGGCCCAGAACTCCATCTAAAATACAGAGTAAAGTCTATGGTGAGTAAAGCAAGGAATGCCAAGCGTATGTATAATAAAAAACAAATATAAATAAATACCCACTGTCTTGTCATCGTTCTCAAAGACCTCCCTGGCCTCTTCCAGGTCACACACTTCCTCTATACACTCTTTCTCCAGGTCGCCTTCCTGGAACTCCTCAAACACACCAGTGTTGTAGCGTTTGTGTCTCCGCAGAACGTTGTCAGCTGCCTGACCGGACAGGAACACAGGGCCCGAGGCGGGAGCTGGGGCTAAAGTAAGTAAAACAAAAATATAAATATTAGCAGTCTCTAAAAACTGTCTTCATCTCATACGCCACAACAACAAATATGTAAAGTATTGATACTCTGTATTGATTTTGATTTATTTTTCTACCTAGCACAGGTATTGACAACACTCCAAAAGTAAGACAAACGTCTAAGATAAACCTCAAGAGAGAAATTATTTATGAGCACCACAAAGATGAAGCATAAAATACCTCCATATCCCAGCTGAAAGTCCAAAAGCAGGCAACACAAGACAGACAAAGAAACGAGTGCCATTCCAAACTGCTGTGGTGTCCTCACACAAACGCACACAACCATCACTCCAAAGTACAGCGTTGTGTTTGCTCATGTAGGCTCACAATTAGTTGAATGTTAGAAAAACATCATGACTGTCTGGAAGTTCCAGTGTTAACATCCACATGCACTGAGTTTTGTAAATAAACCAACAGTGGGGACATCGGAATAGAGGATTAAACCATACCTGTTAATTAAATGTTCTAGTTTTTTACCAAATTTAAATATGTAAACATATTGAGACAAATAAAAAAATGTCCAGGAACAATATTTTTATTTTATTTCTTTAAACCCACCCCAATATATAATGATCTATTTGACGGTTTGTAAACGTTTTTTTTTTATGGATTTGTTTTTTTATTGTTATTGTTGTGCCATACATCTTCAATGTCAATTATTGTGATGTGTGATTAAGATATATTAATCAAATGATTGATAATTATTGTGAAATGACATTAAACTAAATTAACTATATAAGTTAATTGATGCTTTTATTGATAAATAAAGCTTTTCTTCATTTTGTTTGTGCCATAATAAAATGCACTTTTGACTTTTGACCACAAGAGGGCGAACATACACCTCAGTCACCCAAATTATACACAAATAGTGGAGGGTTATGGGATCACGTACGCCATTCTTCATCACTGTAGCACAGAGACAGCTCTCAGTCTAAGTACAAAAAAATACAATAACATGAACATATCATAGGAATGACTATATTTGAAAAGCAACTTCTACAATTAGAGGAAGGGAAGTCACACAATGTGTGTATATTATAAATTAAATATTGAGTTAGGCTGGCTAAAGTTGTAGTATTATTTATATTTTGCCTAGATTTTACATGTATTGAACAGGTTAAGAGCAAACAACCACAAAGTATGTATGACAAACAGGACAATTAAACATAAAGGCAGTGTAAAAAGGTAAAAAGTACAGATCAATACTTTCATGTGTTTACATCTAGAATATCATTTCTCCAATCGATAACCAAGACAATGCCGCAGTGGTCATATGAAACCTGTGTTGCTCCAGCCAGTTAAGATTTAACTCCGGTGTCATTCTGTGTTCTGGCGTAGAAGATGCAACCCATCTCTGGCTATGAAATCCCCCCAGAGGGAGTCCAAAGTCTTCTCGAGTGTTGGCATCTATTGACCGGAGGCATTTATATTTAATTGAATCGTTCAGAGGCTGAATAATTAATTCGCTTTAGTAATTAACACTGTCTGCTCAATACACGAGCTTCTCAATCATTTCCAGCCAGGAGGAGTAAAGTAAGGTTTTGACATGTGTTCCAACTACAGTCCAAAACATTTCTATAGTTACACTTTGCCCTTGCTGAGTCATATTTCTAAAAGTAACTCTGTAACTAACTTAGAGTAGGTGTAGACCAGGGGTCGGCAACCTTTTTGATATGAAGTGCCATTTAAAAAAAAAATTGTTATCAGCGTGCCAACGATCGAGAATTATCAACGNGGATGGTAGAGCGACAGTGAGGGAACGTGTGTATGTTTCTGGAAGTGAAACGAGGCAGCAGAAAAACAGAGGTCAGGTGGTCTGTGATGTATTTTGTGAAACAGAAGAACAGCTAAATAAATGCAACGGCCTCCCAAGAAGAGCTCGCCTCTCTCCAGTCATTGAAGCTAAAGTGGGTTATTGAACCTGAAGCTTGTTGCTTTTTGCCCTCCTCGACTACGGTCTGGGAGCCGACAGGAAAGTTCAACACACAAGATGGCCAGTCCGCCCCTTTGTAGCATATTATTTCGATAACAGATGAACAGATCGCCACTGGGCTTTCAACTAAATACACAGCCACGCAAAAACTGCAGCATTTGTACAGCTCCTTATGGGTACTGCAATTAGTGAAGTGCTTTCCTCCGTGGGGAAACGATCAGCACTGCACCACGGAGGAAAGTGGCAGAAAGTGACCTATAAAGAGAGCGGGGCTGCGTTGCGTGCATGGCTTCCTTCTGCAGGTAACGGGGAGACGCGCTCCGTTACCTGCAGAAGGAAGCCATGCACGCAACGCAGCCCCGCTCTCTTTATAGGTCACTTTCTGCCACTTTCCTCCGTGGTGCAGTGCNGTTTCAATGATTCTTGCTTTGCCTTCAAATTTCCAAGGGATCGACACGATTTTAAATTTGAGAACAAACCGTTGAGAGATACATTTTATAAGTTACACCAGGTCATTGGTGCTGTGATTGGGATAAAAGTATGTACTACGCACTTTACTGATTTGTGTTATCTCTGATAGTCTCAATCTGTTGTACACCCGTTAAACCTGTTCTTTTGTTTTTATGGCTTTTGGACATATTACAGTTTAGCACTATTCTTTTTTTCCCCGCCGGGTGGTTGTTCGCCATAATGGGAATTTAGGGGAGACAGCTGAATCAGGAATTCCCATGTGCCTGGTTCATTTTTTATTAAATTTCTAATTTAAGGCCCATTAAACGGCTCGGGGACGCTGTTTCAGTCCCCCTGTAGAGTGCGTTGGCTCATTCTAGCTCTTTATTAATGTATTGCGATTTGTTACCTTTTTCTTAAATCCAAGAGATTTTACTCATTCAGTTTACAGTCACCCCGTCAGGTGAGCAGCAGTGCTCGGAGTTATTATTTTATGTGAGCAGAGGCAGCTAAGGCTATGTTCGCCACCAGACCAGAATCAAGGGAAGGACGTTTGTTAGCTTCCTCGTAAGAGGACCCAAAAACTAGAACCCGCTATGCAAGAGACACGGCTGAGACCGCGAACTTAGGGTGATGCAGTGGTTCAAAAAGACTGGATTTAATAATTCACAAAAACCAGGACAGGGGACATGAAGAAACTCTGAAACAAGGTGGGAGAACGTGGAGCAGGGCTGGACGGAGGTTTGGGCCGGACGGTGGCAGGCCAGGACGGAATGGGAATGTGAGGTTCTGGAACAGCCAAAAAACAAAACAGGATTAGCATACGAAAAAATCCCAACAGGAAGAGTTATACAGAAGTTACTAGCAAATCTCAGTCAGCGGATGGAAGTTTTACACTGTGAGTATTACGAGAACTGGCGAAGTCTGATGATCGAACCGGGGTTTTAAGTAGCAGCAGGGGGGGAGGGTGGTAATCAGTGATGATGAGAAACCCAGGAGCGGAGTGAAGTTGGTGGAAAACGGAAAGTAGGTCAACCACGCCCAGCCAGGAAGACAGACAAACAGATAGACAAACAAACAGAAAAAAGGAGAAGGAGGTACCGCAAATCCTCACAACGTTAAATCGATAGGATCTGACCCCGAGTAGCTCAGGGGTCAAGAGGTAACACTGGAAGAAAGGTGAGGGGGGACAATGAGAGGATGTCGTCTTTAAGGAAAAACTAGCATCATCACACTGAAACACAATGGCTGTGCCTGTTGATGTGCTCCACACACACCTTACTACTTCTTTGTTGGTAGCCGGAGGATTGTTGACATCCGCCTGGATCATTTTCATCTTCTTCTTATATATAGATTTATAGATTTCTAGCATTTGGATTGTATACGTTGTTAATGCATAACTTTTTTAATGTATACACACAACACCTATTGCAGGTATGACCTTCCTTGGAGAGGGATCCCTCCTCTGTTGATCTCCAAGAGGTTTCTTCTGTTTCTTTCCCATTAATTGTGGGAGTTTTTCCTTATCCGATGTGAACAGAGGCTGCCCTATTCTGTACAAACTCTAAAGAAGCCCCCACTCTAAAGAGACACATGTAAAATGTATATTATTGGGCTATATAAATAAATGTATAATCATAAACACATTAAATAAATAATCCGCCTTATTTCAAGAAAAATGTGTAGTAATTAATGAAAAATATCTTATTTTCATTATTATATGTATAACACGTTGTTGAGTAGTCTCAACCAGAACATTTTGAGTGCATTTTGAATATCTTATCCTTAATTTGGCAATTATCAAATATCAGTTTGGCAAAACTAACATAACCCAAATAAATGGTGGTGTTTTTGCTAAAAACCAAATAGGACGGTTTTGAAGGATACATTCAATATGAAATGAAAATATGTATAATATGTAAATAAGTGTAAAAACTGTTGAGCTGGCAAAATACCAACGGAACAAAGTTGCTGGAGTTTATGACAAGCAGTAAGGAAGGGTAGGCTATGCAGTCAAGATACATATTGAACTATATGCAAATACAAATTGAGACTGACATACAGTAGGACACATGAATCTTACCACACTTAAACAGTCATAGTGTTTACATGACATAGAGCTCTGACTCAAATGCATGTATGGTAGGAATGAGTGGGTTAGAAAGAGTGTGAATGTCATTGGGGGTTGTGTTCCCTCTGTGTCCATGGCCTGTGGCCCCCCATGACCTTTGCAGCATGGCTTCTCTGTTCAGAACCACGTTCAGCCCGGCCTGTTCAGAGCAAAGCCCTGCGGCACACACAAACTCCTGACTCACACTCTGTCACCTCTGATGTCACATCACAGGCTATGACCACCAAGGACACACAAAAACCCTGATTCATTTTTCTTGTTTGCTGATTGCAGGATTTCTGCTAGAATGCGTCATCACCTTATAAAACATGTATTCAACTGTTCCTACGAGAGGCATGTTACTGTAAGTAATGTTGTGTATGGTGCCTACCCACTCTGGGTTACATAATCATGTAAAATCAACAAATATTCTACAAGGTTCTTAAGGATCTACTGCACACGCCTTTTAAAACATGATGATTTATATTGACTTGCATGAAATTGTATTCTGAAAGGTACACTGCAGTTGTTTTTGTCGAATCCAAGTGCATGCATCTGCAGATGTCCTCCAAATGCACTGATGATGTATTGAAAATCTTTGAATTGTGTTTTGTGTCTATTGATTGGTAGTGTTTATGAGGAAGTGTTGTCTTGGCAGCAAACATATATAACTTGTGTACATTAGCCAGGAATCATTTCCATCACTAAGATCATAGTGTGTGTTATTTGTCATTTCTGTTAGCAGTATTAATGCAAGATATTAGGATTTTTCCTGTTCAAAACAATCACTCAGGGCAGTATGATGTCATGGAGTGTGCTGGGGT